TAGTACCTTAACAAAGCCAACACGGTGGGCTCGGTTCAACGGGGCCTGGGTTGGTGTCTTAAGAACGAGGTAGGGAGCGAGAAGCAAGGAACGTAGCAGGGACATACACACAGACTGTATTAGATTACTTAGCATTAATTATTACATCACAAATTCTCTATCCCGAAATGGCAAGCGTGCTTTACTTCCCAGATTCTTGCAGCAACCTCGTCATAGATTGCTTTACCCGGAGCAGGCCCTGGAGCTCCAGGCTTGTGAAAGTGTCGTGGCTTTCGACTAGAGTTATTACCTTCCTTAGGCTAGCCAGACCGTCTTGAAGGGATGTGAGTACAGGCTCCGCCTGCGAGGTCTCTTCAGCAATCTCTTCAGCGTCGCGATAGTCGGGCTGAAGAGACCACTCATCCAGGACCTGGTCAAGGACTTCGAGGTCAGTTGAGGGCTCGTCTGGCGGCGTATCCTCGTTTCCGGGGTTCAAGAATGTAGAGAGAGGCAGCTTATCTGCTAAGCCAGCTGTAGCCTTGTTATAAAGGCTGGATAAGTCAGTTGGAAGGGCCAGGACTTTGCAATTACTAGGAACCACGCCCAGCAGTTTCGACTTTTGCCAGCACTTATGTACCGCTTCTGGCGTTAGTGTTAGAAACCAGTGGGTTGATAGCCACATCATCGCGAGCCGTAGATTCATCCGCGGGATCGGGTCTTCAGAGCATCCGGCCGAGATTTGCCCACACATCCACAGAAGAAAAGACCTTCGGAAATGGGCCTTCAGCAAATTAACGATGCCTTGTTCATTCGGCTGATACATCGACGTGACGTTAGGAGGGATAAACTCAATTGTGATGTTAGGTGGCGGCGGAGTCTCATTGACGGCCACGAGGTGTGGCTTGAAGTTATCAAGCAGCAATAGCACCTTCTGGCCGGGCTTATTGGACTGGATATGCTGATAGAAGGCTTTCAACCACTCGTTCATGATTGCCGTACTGAACCAAGCTTTCCGATTGTGCCGCCAGACAATCTTGTGGGCTTTCCAATTGAAGTTCCTCAAGGTACGGGGGCTGGCGGCCTTGCCCACGACCCACAGGTCCGGTTTATCGTCGCCAGTATCGTTGGTAGTAATAGCTAGTGAAATACGCGTCTTATCAAGCTCCTTGCCAGAGCCGGGAGATGCCGAGTGGCGCCAAAAAAGTCCTATTTGATTCATATTATAGCAATTGCCGCGAGGGGTCTCGGACACAACTCGTTTAAGGTGCGCCATCTTGGGCCTTGTTTCTGGAGCACTAACAGCGTCGGCAGAGGTTCTAGCACCGTTTACGGGAAAGCGCTTCTGAAAAAGCCTGCACCACCGCGGGCCGAAGCTGGGAGGGTTATCTGGAGGCAGGCCATTCCGGGCTTCAGGGTAGTGGGTCCATATATATCTAGCCTTCTCCATCAAGACCTCTCGCGACGTGGTGATGGCCCTAACTTCCATGCCGTACTGCCAGCGCTGAAGAATGTCTTCTAGAACGGGCCATTGCGCACTGCTAACGCGGGTGTGTTGGAGGCCGGGGCTGTTAAGATTGACGAAATCGAGGTTATTGGAGCGTAGGATTCGGGAGATTTGATATTGGGGGAGGGTAATGTCGAATTTCTGCTTGAACCATGTGATAGCTTCGGTCTGTGACGGCTTCGACGGTTGGCTATTAAACCATCTGCGTAGTTGAAGCTTCTGCTCAACCGTGATTCGAGGCATGGTAGGAAAAGGACCATCTGAGGTCTGTCGAGGAGTTCAAAGTCTGTGGAAAGTAATCGGAGGGCATCGCACGTGTTGATGAATAGTTGGGAAAGGTAAACGATGGGCTCCTGGCTATCAACAAAACCTCTCTGGGTAGGTACCACCGTGACATAGCACCACTGGCAGAGTGGTGCTCGGTACTAATGTGCATAATATTTACATTAGTACTATGTACGTTAATTATGCATGCATAAGTATCACAATATGCATTTCAAGTTATGCTCTATGCCGGTGGACACCGTGACCGTGACCCCGTGGCTTCATTCAGGGGCATTTTACGTATGAATACAACTTGAATTTAGATACTGCTTGGTTTTGCGAATTTATACGCTCTAGGTAGTTCTGAAAACCACACTAAGTTGGACGTGTTGGATCCAAGGAAGATACTTGATTACGATGAAGATGTCTAAACAATTATCATGATGCCAGTAAACCGAACAGGAGGCTCGTTCTCTTCCAATACTCATCCGACGCTTTCGCAAGGCGACGCTCTGCCTCACCGTCCAGACCTGTTTTTGCCAATACTTCCAAAGCAAGGTCCTTCATCGCCTTATCTCCATCGTCACCGTTACCGATGTCGAGATAGTGCTGCAATAGACTGATGTCGGCGAGCCATTGGATAAAAACATCCTTGTTACGTTCAGACGTTTGCGAGGGCTTGACGCTGGCTTCTTCTGCCTTATCAGTTTCTGCATCTGTCTCGCTTGCCTCCCCCTCGCTTGTCTTGACTGCAGGCGCCGCCTTATCTACTCCAGAAACGTTCGTTGTAAGTTCCTTTCGCCAAAGTTCAGCTAGCTGCCGGCTGAAAACACGCTTTAAGGTCTCCACAGCAGCTGGAGTCCAGAGGTCCACGCCGGCATTGCCCATTGACATGGTGATATTCCGTAGCAGCTTAAACGTGCTGGGGGAAGGCTGTGTTGGTAAGGCAGGCTCTCCCTCCCACAGCGCTCGACCAACCACTCGATTCTGGGTTAGGATTGTTGTAGCAAACTCCTCTAGTGGCGTTACAGACACGTGTGCCGCGAGCTTTTCATGAAGCGAAGGGACGTTGTGCAAGCCAAAAGACTGCACACCCTCGAGCTTGGGCAGGCGACTCCGGATGTCTCTTAAGATTCGGAGGATATACTGGGCAATTTGTCCGTTGTCCAACCCATCTTTTCGACCTTGCCACAGTACTGTGAGTTGCTCATCCAGGTCCTGGAATGCTTTTGTAAGTGTCTCATTAAGTCGTGTGTGCAGTAGTTGCGGGTCATCTCTGCTTAACAGGCCCTGCCTCATTTCAATGACCTCCTCATCCTCAATTTCATCCACGTCGTTATCCCATCTCTGCCCTCTGAGTTGTTCTGCCAGGTCCCCAACATTGTCAATTATATGACGCCATGATTCGAAACCAGTGACAGCTCGCGCAACAGCATCATTCCTTCCATAGAACCGAGTTACGATCTCGTGAGTGACTTGAGCAGAGCTGATAGAAAGATCCACCTCCAGCATCTCGTCATTCCACATGCCTCGTTGTCGATCGGTTATTCCAGACTGCCATGCCTCCAACGTGGTAGCCACCTCGGATCCAACGAGCTTGAGTTTTGCGACCTTGACCTCTATGAGCTGTAAGAGGTGGTCGTTAATCGCTTTTCGCAAGCTGTCGAGCATGATGGATGGATCAAACCCTCGCGGTTTTCCGCCATTCCTTATCCATTGTTGCAGTGTGCTTGTCCGTAAATCTATAATGGATTTGAATTCAGAGATATGTTCGAGGATCTTACTTAGGCCCTTGAGTACAGTTTCTCGCCCTTTGTTTGCCCAGCCCGTGAGCATTTCGCTAGCCTGCTGTCCATCTAGATCATCGTGTCTTATGAAAGGTGTGAAGTATCGAATCTCGTCACCACACCATCTCTCAAACAAATCCAATCGGAGGCCCTCTAAGGATCGCAACGCTTCGTCGGCAAGAAGTGGTTTCCGCTTGAGTTCTAATAACGCGTCCGGGAGCCTGTTGGGAATCAAAGCTTGCACGTCCAGTAAAGTCTTGGTGTATAAGTCGAGTCCTCTTAGGACATCCTCGGGACCCTTGTGTTTTCCATGTTCCCCGTAGTCGAATTCGTACGTAATCGCCTCGGCTCTAATGCTCAGAAACCGTCGTAGAATATCCTTAGTACCGGAACTTGACGACAGGCTATAAGCCGACAAGGCTTTGAGTGTCTCAGTTATGTCCGTCTTCTCTCTGCTCTTTTGCAATATTTTCTCGATTGCGCGCACTAGCTTTCTCCTCAACCCATCCAGGCTCCTCTTCGTGCCCTCAACTACGCTCTTCACTTCGTCGTCCAACGTCTTCAGGTCTCCGAAGCTAGACACGAGCAACCGGCTGAGTACAAAGACTTTCGCAGCCAGCACCAGCCGATCGCCTCGGCCTGCTTCGGCATCCCGACCTGTACCCGTCTTCAGCAACCGACTCACTGCAAGTCCGCAAGCCCGCAGAAGCCTCACTCGCGCTGTCCGGCTCAATTCGGTCTCCGTATGCTCGTTGCCGCGAAAGCGCCCCAAGCCCATGGTCTTATTATCGACGACGGCGCGTCCGCATTGGCCGCCCATATGACCTAAAACCTCTTGCGCCGAGAGCATATCTCCCCGCATCTGCACGATGGTATCGGCAGTACCAAGTAGCTGGCGGTAGCTGTTGCCGACCTGCGTGCGTAGACGAGCCGACTTCTCGTCAATCTGGGTATGCAATGTCTTGTGGACGGCGCGGATCTGCGGAAGCGTGTATGTCGTGAAGATCTGCGCTGAGCTCGTCAGCGTCGACGTGTCGGGGGTCGCCATGGTCGCGTAAGGGAAAAGGATTGGGTTGTGCTTAGGAAGCGCGATGTGTTATCGTAGTTCAGGCATCAGGCATGGAGTTCTTCAATCTTCTAGCCTTCAGGCAATACGGTGGTCTGAAGTGCATTCCACCGCGAGAGCTATTCCATGCGCGAATGCCAGCTGCTGGCAGCTGCCCGCCCGCTATGTATGTTAACGACATCATGGCGGACAGTTACGTCTCCAGTCAATTCGGGCGTGCAATGTCAGATCCGTTAACTCAGGTCTAACTCCGTACGGACGTAGCAAAATATGAATTACAGCACTGGTTATAGGCCGTGAGTCCGCTTCACTCTTGTTGAATAGGCTTGAAGAAAAATGCGACCATGGATAATGGGAGCGTAGAAAAAAAGAGCGACTTGTGTGCTCGTCAGTGAAAAAATGATGAGAGTGGGACTCGAACCCACGCGGATTGCTCCACCGCGAATTTTGTTCGATATCCCAAGTGAACTCGGGAGTACCTGAACACGGCGCCATAACCACTCGGCCATCTCACCTGTGGTTACTGAGTCATGTATCAAGAATAATGACGGGCCTGGGCGGTGGTTACTACCCAAGCCGAACGGCGCCCTCCTGATAATCCTGCCATCCCGGTGCTGGTTCGCGAGATTTTGGAGATGCAATCTAACCACCCATGTCACCCATTGAACAGAATGCCATGGTAAACGGCGTAACCCACAATCATAACGCCTTTAGAAAGAAAAGACGCGCGCCCCATGTATAATTCTATGTCCACATCAACATGTCCCGAGGAGATCTTCTCATGATGTCGCCTCACTATGCGCCAGACACAGCTCTAGGTTCACATAGTCTGCCATCCCCCAGATTTACATGTGAATTCGTTGACGACAGCTCGCAGAGACATTACATGATGGATGGATTGAGGGGCTGGATTTCCTCAACGGAATCTCTGATACGCCGACGTCTTGTCGTTATCACGGAATGGTGGGGTTCCAGAGGGCGGTGATTGGCATCACCTCAATGCAGCCAGATTCATGCGCTGCCCCAACCTCGCCGCCCTTGTCCTTTCCTTCACCCTTATCTACGCACGGGCGGCGCAGGACCTTGTAGCCCAGCGTTCGTTCAACCCACCCGCGTGCACATGCGACAGTGACAGCTGTTCAATTTGGTTCGTGTCGCAACCGAAAACGCGCCGCCGAGAGCTCCAAACTTGTTTCGTGGCACAGACTTGGCTCTGCGAAGGCCAGCCTCGCTGGTAGTAACTGGCTGGGTCCGGGAGACCTTTCATCGTCCAATCGTTACTGTTCTATTATCTATCTGGCTTATTTGTCTTTGTCTTTTTCGTTCCACCGCCTCGGGAGAGCCTGCGTCCCCCTCCACGACGGGCGGTCGTGCAATGAGGGCGTTCGGGCTGGGAGATCTGGTGCTGGGATTCAGGAATCCGAGGCGAGAGAAGCATAAAAATCCGTTTGGAATCCAACCCTCCCGATCCAGAAGCCAATAGTTCTGGGATACGGTCAAGACGGCTGCTCACATGACCGGCGTCGGACTCTGGTTGTTTTGCTGTGCGATCAGTGTGGTTGCGCCGGCTCGATTGTCACTTGCCATAAGGTTTGCTGGAGCGACTTGGATTGTCATCAGTCCTCTGGTGAGTATATGTAGGGATCCCATGCGATCTATCCAGTACACGAGGCTGCTTTATCGAGCTGCCCTTGTGACGCAGCACGCCTTGTCCAATAACGGGCGTATAAGCAAACAGCAAATTGCAACTGTCCTCCTGCCTTCCGGATAAAAGGTTATTAGGTAGTGTACGGAGTATATCTGAAGACTCGGTTCTCCCATCCCAGGCCGGTGGCGATCCCTCTCCTGTTGAACACGCCACGGCGGGGGGCTGCGCTACCTACAAATCCATTCCACTATTCCAGGCATTATTACGATAGCCTTTGCGGCCCTTATTTCGTGGTTACCAACTATTGAGTCTCAAGGCAGCCGGTAGATTATCATCACTCCAATTTGGGTTGGGTAAGGAATCAGAGATACCTTAGTTTTCGAACAAGCAGTCCATATCTACAGATGATACCGTGGTATGCATAGCCATAGCAAGTGGTCAATGATACATAGGGTGAGCTTGTGGTTACATACTCGGTACGAAAGCGATGAACTGATCAGGTTGTACCCTTTTGCCGGGGAGGGAGACATAACCAAGCTACTTACATATTCGCGTTAAACCATGGATAGAGACGACTTGCCTACTTGGCAATACTGGTGATCGTACGTAGATTCCTACGGCACAAATCATATGTACTTGGACCCGGTAGAGCGTCGTGGGGTGTAGATCGTGCCCCCTGACTCCTCAAGCATTCATCTGCGTAGCTCTGAATATAGGTAACCACTAAGGTACATACGTACGCAGCCGAGGCTATATCGCCACCTTGGCCCTGAAGTAAATACTAGGGGTCTGGTCGTGTTCAAGGCAACATTCTGCGCTAGCGTTAGCAGAGATTCAGCTATACATAGTAGCCTCAGGCCCAGCCGGGGGGGGAGTGATGAGGACATCATGATGTTAAACCGCATCATCTGGAGAAGTAATTGTGTATCCGGTATGACCCCGCGTTAAGACAAGCTTCAGCCAGTTATCCAGAGCCAAACAGGCCCCATGAACTGGTAGCCGGGCGCAGTAGTTTATAACGGCGTAGATCACCCGTCCGACGTTGACAAGTACCCAATACGAAAGCGGTGGCCCGTGGCCAGAACCACCGTGTTGGATAAAGCCTCTTAGCGCATGACGAAGATATAATCGAGGCTACTGCTGCGGGGATCTTGATGGCATCTAGAACTTCAACGGACAGAGTAACCGATTCAGGGTTACATCTCAAATCGCCTGTCATGGTATTGTACACGTCTGGGGAGTGTACCTTATGAAGTTGTCTGGATCGCCATGATCACGATGGCGACCAACGATGATCTGCGGCTCGCGAGCGATCCCATAGTTAAACGAAACGTCCTTGACGGCTGTATAGTATGTGTGGCATGCATCACTAGACCTACCTGTCCCGGAGTGGAAGGTGGTGGAACACAGATATCATTGATGACAATATCTCTTTGCGTGGTGCGTACCTAGCGGGCTTTGATGGGTGTGGGATCTTGTCGTGGCTTCCCCGCATTCGTCTTTCGCTGGGATCTCGAATGATTCATACAAATCAAGCAATTTATGCGACCACCAGAAGTTGTTGGGCCCTACTCCGCGGGGGAGAAGCAGGGTCCTTCTTGACCTGATCGCAACCCCCCACCCCCAGGAAAAGACGCTCGCGCTGTCATCTAATAAAGTCAGGCTAATTATAAGTACTTGTTACATAGTGCTTTGCGGTCTGTGACTTGTAGTTAGCCCAATATAAACAGATTCGAGGCTCTAGCTTCGTGACTGGTTCCTAGTGTGCCGTAGGTACCGACGGTTTTGAAAATGGCATGTGAACTGAATTACCAGAGGCTTCCACTCCATTACGGTATGGGGTGGTTCCTAAAAGGCGAATCTGCGAATATTGTACTCCGTAGCCTCCGGGGTGATGGGACATCATGAGAGTCGGGAGTCTGGACTGGTGGACCGGATCAGCTAGCTGGCTGAGCATGACAAGCAGTTAGGTAGGGATCCCAGGCTTTAAGCACAACCAAGGTAGAACTCACGAGAGCCTCCAGGCAGCGCCATATATGAGGGCCGTGAGCTCATGCAGAGTCATGAGTCCATAGGTAGTCCGTAGGAGTACTCCGTACACGCTATAGACCCGGATTATGTGCCAGACTGTGGAGTTTGGGTTGCATGGAGTCGGCAGTTGAGGAGTTGTTAAAGCCTAGGGAGATACGTAGTCTGTACTTAGTAATCGATGATGGGTCAGCTCTCCCACGTCACCCACATCAGTCGTGCAATTAATTATCCCACATAGCTGTATGCGACATACCCGTGGTAGCGGTCGGTATGTCTATTAATTAGGCATCGACGCTGGTTCGAGAAGCGTAGGTATGGTACGATTTGCCCATCCGATATTCGGCCGCCAACGAAAGAACCGCAACTGAGATACCGGACACGTAGAACATTTGTGCATTTGTAATGCAATCCGAACATAGGGTTGCATAACGCCAAAAGTAAGCGTAATAAGTGTATTAGCACCGGTAGTATGTAGTCCGTAAGTGTACGGGCTAGATACGGTCTGTAGGCAAGTTAACCATGAACTGCCCTGTTTGCGATCCGGCAGGCCGAGCAATTAGATAGTACTGTATTCCGTAAGAGGTTGACACGTTACTATGATTCATTCATATGTATCCAACAAATTCAACCCAGCACGTCCGTACGAATCAGAGCTAACCCTCTTATCCCTGCCCGAAGAGGCAGGCTGGTTGTGAGGCGTTATCTATGCCAAGGCATCCCAACTGACACTACGTAAGCAGTGTACTATAGATAGTGTAAAAGTATCGTCACCGGACCCACGAGCCGGCCAACGCATCACTTTTCCACCGGTGTTACCTGGTACCTATGCCCTTCTGGATTGTAGCGTGCGCAGTTAGTGTGCGGGGCGATGATGTGCGTGGTCACAAACGGACGAGATACCCTGGCTAGTAACCACATATCGCTGCTCACGTGCGGTTGCTGTCCTTGGTGTACGCTGGGCATGTCTGTACATGACGAGGAACCACAAATACCTACCTTAAGATAGGTACAACGGCAGCTTCGTTCCGTGCAGTACTGTATAAGCCAGGCTGCCCGGACTCTTCGCCGTCCGAGAGATCTCGTCGCTGTCCTTTGCCCCCTTGTGTCCGTCTCGCTGAGTTGCCGGATGGAATGGGACCAAATAACATACGAGCGTTCTGTATCGGTGCTGTCCGCCTTTTAGCTCTTTATTCTTTATGTACACTACGGCGGTGTACGTAGCCGCCGTTGCTATCAGCCCGGCCAATTCGCTGGGGCGATGACTTGCAGCGTCCACTCTACAACGCCTGGCAGAACGTGAGGGTACCTACATAGGGCCGTAGGGCAGTTACGCAGTAGGGTAGGCAGAGTACTTCGTAGGTATTCCCCAGTGCCCCCGAGGCATGCCTGGACAATCTCCCGGGCCGCCAGTACATGATGTACATGATGTGCCCCCAAGCCGCATTGGCATTACGTATCTCCGCGTTGCCTCCAGTCTCCTTGCATTAGCCAGCAGCCTCGTGGTTCTACCGGAGACACTTGAGCTTGAGTAGATGGATTAATAGGCAGATACCGTAAGACACGAAGATTCCGGATTGTCTTTGTAATGGAGAAAGAACGAAAAGAGCAGGTACCACGTGGTGATGGACCATGGTACGCGGATACCTGTATTGAGTGCTAGGGGCACCTGGGTACCTGGCCGGTACTTCGCCGACTTCAGTGCTTTCCACGTCAGGACCCCATCTCAGGTACCCCAATGGGCCCTGTTAGTGTGCGTAGTGGGTGGTGCAAGCCCGCGGTGTACCTGGCACACGCCACACGTGCGGATAGGTGTTGTCGAGGTACCTCCACTCGGGC